CCGAATCCATTAAAATGAAGGAAAAATTCACAGATGATTAAAAAATTGGTGTGCAATTTTTGGTCCAGCAGTAGCCAGAGGGCCTTAATGACAAGGGTCTTGCCGCTAGGTAAAGGTCCGGCGTGGACACAATGGGAACAATACCCCGGTGAGCTCAGCGTTGACCCAGCGGCTCCTCGCCGAGATCCGACGTTGCAATTCTCGGGTCGCCCGAAAATGCCCGAATTTTTACTCTGTTTAATGGAGATGTTGCATGTGTGAGCGATTTGCGATTTGACTGTTGTTTCTTATGTAAAAGTTCGCAAGAAACACGATGGTGCCACTGTTTTTCTCTGAAATCATCTCCCAAGCTCAAAAAAAGCTCTCGAAGTGAGGCCAAAATGGAGGGGATATCCCGCCCTACCCTGAGAGTCCACCTCTACATCAAAAGAAACTCTCCATGCAAAGATAGGGAGCATATACCTACATTGACAGGGTTGCCACTTCATTTGGGGACTCCTAAACTGAAAACGCGGCAACCCTGCTGATGTATTTGCTCCCGATCTTTGCATGGAGAGTTTGTTTTGATGTAGAGGTGGACTCTCAGGGTAGGGCGGGATATCCCCTCCATTTCGGCCTCACTTTGAGAGCTTTTTTGAGCTTGGGAGTTGATTTCAGAGAAAACCAGTGGCACCATCGTGTTTCTCGTGAACTTTTACATTATGAACATCAGTCAAATCGCAAATCCCTCACACATGCAACATCTCCATTGGTTTGCACGGACTATAGTCACCTCAATCTCGGAAGACCTGTTTTTAGGTTTATGAAAAACTGTCAAATACGATCATTTTTCTGCGCGCAGTGCCTTAAAACTAACGGTATCGCCACCCTCCGATCAGCGAATCACATGGAAACCGCCATTGCTGCTAGATTGAACTACCAATGTGTTCAATTATATTATATCTCATCATCAGTCTGAGCATACTGTACCGAGAGGTACTCAATTCAGGTGGCAGAAACATTATTCCAGTGATATCCACGATTCAGAGGCTCACTCTAACCCGGTGGTTAATTTTTCATTTCTGAAGGATATAGCATCCCTGCAGCACTCCCCTGCACCCTCACCTCACATTGTAGTATGAGCAAAATAAGACCCATTAAAATTAACATAAAATAAAGGTAGTGAGTATTCAGGCGCATTTTTAAGGGATTTCGGCGGTCCAAGACTGCGCCCCCAAGGCATTCCCTGTAAGTTGGAGGTGTCCTATCCTAAACTGTACCGCTTGAATCGATGTTGAAAGTATTTTAAATTGCATTTTGATTAATTCTATGCGTTTGCCGGGCCTTAAACGGAATCCTGGCAATTTCTCGAAAAAATCGAAGATTTAGCAACAAAGATGGCGTCTGGGCGGGCCCAGGACATCATCCAAAATTTCTGAAAAGAATTGAGCGTTACTGTTATTCCACAGCGCAACGTTTTAGCACTAGCCATCTTTGAATTTTGAAAAAAGTTCCAAAACGGTCCACCCCACGCCGGCGGGACCTCCGTTCACGCTTATAAAATGGCGAGTGCCTCGGAAACCGCACATGGAATCTCTTTGGGCCTTTGAGAGCTTTTGATTAGAATGTCTCGCTGAGCAAGACCGGGGAGGATTTCCCATCAGGTTGATGCGGGGTTCTTTCCCGTCATTGGAACTTGGAGAAAAAGCTCCTCAAAGTCAAAAGCTATTTGAAACGGGTCTTTTCCCGCGCTTCGGAACTAGGACTCCGTGACGTTACATGGTATTAGTCCAGATTCGCCCTATGTCAAATAAGTGATTATACGGTCTTTCTCAAAATTCGCGAAAAATCTATTTTTTATCTAGACTTGATTTCTTGGCGTCGATGAAAATTCCGGAATTTGATTAATAATGTTAAAACAATTTTGAAGGCTCTCCATCAGGGTGTCCCTTTGAGCCATCCAAAAAAATTTCTCGGATCATCGATGTTTGGTGGTTTTATTGTGCCATTATGTTAAGGATTTAATACCCCTAAATTTGAGCGAAATCGGATGATTTTTAGTGCTGCCGCAACGCGGTTTTAGTCGCGGCGAAAATTTTTGAGACTCGCCTTTTTAACGTTTTTGACGCAACTTTTAATGGCAGTTAGCAGCAATTACAGGCATCAAATTGTTTTTTATCGTGACTTTGCATAGTATACTTTCAAGTAGTAATGTTTATTTTGACTTTGCAAACCCTAAAATTTTATTTCGACCCCTTAAAATTGACAAAAAACTTTATTTTTTGCTCTTAAGCAATTAGTCCAGGACTTGTGTAAAAGTTGAGGGAAAAAATCAATAGCAAGTTGATTTTTGGCAGAAGGAGTCCTTACGACCCCCTCAGTCCCTCCAGAAAGATCCTTATTGATAGCGTGACGGGTTTGGAATGGGCCTGTTGCAAACTTTTGCTAGAGCAAAACTAACAGTTGTTTCCTACAGATAATGCCCCAAAAATCACGATGAGCACATCGGCAAAGTCTGAAATGCACTCATAACTTCACAATCTGTGTAAGAAATTTGCTATTTTTTGAGCTCCCCGCTTCGAAAACGATACTACGGTACAGGTGAACATTTTGTTAGAGGAGTCGTTCCATTGGCGGCAATACTCATCATGGCCGACGCCAGTCCGCCAAAACACGTGTGATGGAACGAGATAACACCTAAACAGGATTAAACCAGATAACAATCGGCGTGTTTACGTTCATATTTTCCTCGCCCGCCTTAATATTGACCTTGAGTTCTCCTCGAATTACGCGAGGAACTGCGCAAGCGTCGGCCATGATGAATATTGCCGACGATGGAGCGACTCCTCTAACAAAATGTTCACCTGTGCAGTAGTATCGTTTTTGAAGCGGGAAGCT